CAATGCCTCTGCATGAAATTTTTAAAGAGAAGAAGGTGTTATATTCGGTCAATCCCACTTTCTTTTCAAGATCAGCATTTACCCAAAAAGAAGAACCAGTCAAGAACATTGGATGCTGTCAAATCACAGGTGTTACATCAGAGTTTGTGTTTCTAGTTGGATACCTTAGGGGAAGGAAAACTCTGATGTAACACCTGCAGCTTGACATCAATGATACCTGACTGGTTCTTCAAGTATATATGGCAACACCTCCAAATTCAGCTGAAATCCAGTTCTTTTAGCAAGATCAGGCAACCCTGGATATATTGTTAAATCTGAAGCACATGCAAAATAAATATCTTTTTTTATACTTCTGAGATGAAGTATTCTAATTACTTACACTATTTACATCATTTTGACTGCTGTCTTCATATCTATTTGCCATATTCACAATGTTTCAGTTCTTGTACACTCCAACCTTCTTCAGGTGATATATGCTGTAATTTCAAACCAAATTCTTTATTTAGTCTACGGGGGTGGATTGTTCTAATTCCACATGCTATGGCTTTTTTGGGGGGGTATATCTCAGTATCAGTTAATTCTTTTTAGTAAGCCAACTCTCCAAGTTTCTGTAATATTTATTCAATAATAAATTTCTGATGAGAAAGAATTTTTGAGATTTAACTTAAAAACTAGCATAAGGAATTATAGTTTAACCTCCTGGAACTAAACAGGCATACAAAGAAATTGTATCAGGTGATTAACGTAATAATCTTGTTAATTCCATATAGACACCATTGTTGTCTCGCAATTTTCGTTTCATCGGCAACTTCATTTATGAGACAGGAGACAGCCTACTGCTTTGTGTGAGAAAGACTGTCTTAAATTCCAGTTTGTATATATATATATATATATATATATATATATATATATATATATATATATAGATAGAGAGAGAGAGAGAGAGAGAGAGAGAGAGGTGGGCATATACTATAATAAAGAGAAGTTTTCTTCTCTTTCCCTTCTTCATCCAACCACCTCGGTGACACTGAAAATGCATTGGCATAAAATTTTTGCATTTTCTTATTTCTTGTTCAAGAAAAGGATTTTGCCACTATTACTGTCTTTTATTTAATCATTAACATTATTATTTTGTCTTTCCATATTGTCCTAACCAACCCCCAACCCAAACTTCTTTCCGACTCCTCTTGTTGGCTACATTCTGTTTTGTCCTTCACCCTTGTTTCTGACAATGATGTCATTTGCATCTAACTTTTGCATATAGAAGAAGAAATATCTTTTCCTTACACTACCTTCCTTTTAAATCAGCATACCTCTTCTGCACTGTCTGCTATCATCTCTAATAATAAGGTAAAATGGAAAGAAAAAAGAAAAAGAAAAAAAAATAGATTGCCAAAATTTTTCTAAGGAGTTTTAACAGTTAATAGCTTTCGCATTTTTACTCCTTGTAATGATAGTTGAAGAAGAGAACTTCCGAGTAAAGAAAGTACTATAATCATTGAAGTTTAAGATTAAAAAAGAAAAAAAAAGAAGAGTTTGATACAGGATAATGTTTTGACTAAACAGATTTGGAAAATATCAGTTTGGGATTTTGAGAGAGAAAATTTCTTTTGCATTATTTTGTTTCCAACTAATTTTTCTTTTTACTATTATTTTGATTCAAGTTAATTTAGTGTGTAGGAGAGTGTTTGTGGGGAGGACAATTTTGGTTATTTTTTTAAATTGTTTAAAAAAAAAATTGTTTAACTCTTAAGATCGGCTCAATATTTAAGACCCTTAAGAAGAATAAGATTCAAGTTCCTAGAATTCGTTTTTTTTTCTTTTTGCTTTTGTATTCTTTCTTTTTTTTTTTTTTTTTCGTCGACTTATTTGCAATGCAAATGATTGTGAATAAAAGAATTGGAGATTCTTATCAAATTGGGTGTGTGCATCTGTAAAAGTAATTTCACCTATAATTCTTGGCCTTATTTGGCGAACAACAACAGTATGTGGAGGTAGGAGAAGTGAGAAAATAGAAATTGTGTGAGAGGGGGAAAGAGGGAGAAGAGGCAGTAAAAATAGATGCAGGTAAGAAAGAGGAAGGAGCTAAGCTTAGGTAGAAAGGGAGAGGAAAGAGGTAAGCTTAGGCAGAAAGAGAACGGAAGGAACTGAGCTTAGGGAAAAAGAGAGAGAGAAAGTGATGAATGAAGGTAAAAGAAAGGAAGAAAGAGTGGTTAGAGTAATAGAAATAGGTGAGGGGATAGAGGGAAGCTGAAGAGAGAGACAAAATTGACAAAGAAAAGTAAGAGGAAGAAATAAAATAATTTAAGAGAAAAATGCTTGATAAATTATTTAGAAATGAGAAGCTTAGACAGTGAAAAGAATAGTTTTTTCTTTTACTATTGTTCACTCAGTACAAGGCTGAAGAACCACTCAAGTTAGAAGGTTACTAACAGAAGTTGTTTTAAGGGCATACAGGAGATGAGCAGAGGTGCATATTATAAGGATATGTAGGATAGATAATAGTTGACTCTCAACTTGAAGAGGTTAAGATTGTAGTGATCAGGGAAGCATCTCCTTGGGAGACCATTACACAGTGCAACAGTTTTGGAGAAGAAGCTGAGTGGAACTCCCTCCTCACAAATGCATTATGAGGATGAGTCTATAGACACTTGGAACTTAAGGTTAAAATGATTTGATTTATGAAGGATGATAATGACATGGAAACAGATGGGTAATTTTAATAAAACAAGACAAGGAATTTATTCATAAATTTACATGCTTGAAGTAGCTAATTTCAGGAAAACAAATCAGAATTTTTAAAGTCCAAAGTTTTAACATATTGTCATGATGAGGAAATATTCATAAAACAGCATGGCCTGGAAGATTCAAGATGTGAAGGTCTGAACTGGTGGAACCAATGAATGTAGTTTGACCAAACATCTGCCATGAAAATAGTGATAGAGTAGCAAGAGGCGAGTAATGTTTTACCTGTGGGTAAGGGGGAGGTTGGTTGAGAAAATGAAAGGAAGAAAACAAGAAGAAAGAATTTGAATGAAAAACTGAGTAAGAAAACTACAGTATGCAAAGAGAGAAAGAAAACCAGTTGAAGAGGGAGTAAGTGACAAGAAAAAAAATTGTTTATAAAAAAGAGAGTGGAGGCAGTTTGAAAGTTCTTTTGCTGGGGGGGGGTACTAATAAATGATTTCATAGTCACTGACATCGTTCTCTTTATTACCCAAATAAGAAGAGTGGAAACAGACATAAAAAAGAAAGAATACTTTTTATATTATTCACATTGTTCGGACTGTTGTCCTCATCTTTATTGTTATATTCATTCATTTCACTTCATCTTATTAGTGATGTTTTTACATGAAGCCTTTTCACTAATGCTACTTTTTTTTACTAGTTTTACTGCATCTTATTATTTTTTTTTACACTATCTACATCTTTCAGAATGGTTTGGCTTAGTTTGGTTTGGTTTACGGCACATCAACCTCAATGGGTCATTTAATGCCGACAATTTTTTTTTTTTCCTGGTAATATTTTTGTTTTGTCAAAAATCCATTTCTGTTAATATTTTTTCTCAAAAAAATATAGCTGGTAATATTATTTTTTCAAAAACATATAGCTGGTAATATTATTTTTCAAAAACATATAGATGGTAATATTATTTTTTTTTTTTTAAATATACAGCTGGCAACATTATTTTTTCAAAAATGTATTATCAGAGGCCCTGCTGTTGGACGTAGTTTATCGTCATACCCAGGACGCGGATGTAGTTTATCGTCATACCCAGGACGCGGATGTAGTTTATCGTCATACCCAGGACACCTTTCAGAATGCTGTTCTCATCTTTATTGTCATATTCACAATGTTTCGACCATTGTATGCTCTGTCCTTCTTCAGGTTATATACGTTGGACACATGGCCCAGTGGATAAAGGTGTTGGTTGAAGTAATCCAAAATGTGACTTAACTCAAAGTGTTGTTAGTTCAATACCTGGTCACAGTGAAGGGAAAAAAAAAACTTGGAGAGTTGAGTTACTAAAGGGAATAAACTGAAACTGAGATATCCAGAAAAGTCATGGCATGTGGAATTAGAACAATTTACCCCAATGGATTAAATAATGGGTTCAGTTTGAAATTCAAATGTATCTCAGCTGAAGAAGGCTGAGGCGTACAGTGGCTGAAATGTCATGAATATAGAAATAAAGATGAGGACAACAGTTTGAATGATGTAAATTGTGTAAATAGTTACAATACCTCACCTTGGAAATATAGACAAATGTTAAAGAAAGAATAATTTTTCTTCTTTCTCCTTTCTTTTTCATACAGAAAGGGAAATGATAAGAGAAGTTTTAAAAGAAATAGAATAGGTGTAAAAAAGGCCATGAGTAATATAAAAAAAATGAGTTGAGTGGCTGGAGGAGGAAGACAAAGAAAAGGTGGAAAATAAATAGAAAGATAACAGTAGATATAAAAGCAACTGTAAATAAGAAAGCCAATAATGATAAAGAAGGAGAAAATAAAACAAAAAGAAAGAATAAAAGAGAAAAAGAAAATTGAGAGAAATACAGAGAAATAAATTAAGGGAAAATAGCAGTGAGAATCAAACAAATTCAAAATGGAAGAATTAGAGAGAAAACTTTTCTTCTGTTTAATCGAGGGGAAATCAGTCTACAAGGATTTTCAGATATACTTGCTATGGTGTCTGTCATGTCTCACTTGTTATATGTGGAAAAATTCACAGTTAACAAGATAATTTCCCAACAGTTGTTCAGACTATTGATCTCATCCAATTTATTTCTTTTGCTGCTATCACAACATTTCAAGCAAGCTATCTGACAGCCTTCTTCAGACCTAAGATGGAAAGGGAGAGTTTCTATTGGCTACCATTTTCTAGTTTGCTGTGTCCAAAAACAAATAAAAAATGTCCCTGTCTTCTATCATATAGCTTGTATACCTGAAGTAAACCAACTGTTATCAACAACTTCATTCAGTAAACTTTGAGTGTTTATGGCTGTATCAAGTTGAAACACCAGTTCCTGTATGATCACAAAAGTTAAGCAACATTGATCCTGGTCAGTATCTAGATGGTTGACCACTTGGGAATACCAGGTACTGTAAGTTTAGATGTGTGGGTGATGTAATGGAATTTTTAATTGAAGAGTCAAGCTCCTATTCCTGTTAGGGAAAGGTATGAATCCACCTCTTCTCCCCTAGTTATGGGTTAATTAGTAAGAGTTGTATCGCTAAACCATTATTATGTCAAAAAAAATTCTTACAATCTAAAAATATTTTCTGGCTTTAAATAACCTGCAAACGGCTGATAAGTCATAGAAAATGAATCAATCACTCAAGTAAATACAGATTAACTACACAGGCATGTCTTTTAGAATTACCTTCTCTGGACTATAAATGTATAGAAACTACCATGTCCACAAAATGAGTGTTCAATTTATATACTGATTATAGTATAGAATTGATCCCCCAATTTATATCCACATTATAATTTGTTTGTTTAGCAAATTCTGATTAGATGTGAATTCACCACTTCTCCCCCAGCTATAGGTTAATTAGTAAGACTTGTAACACTAAATCACTATGATCTCAAAAAAAATTCTTACAATCTAGAAATATTTTCTGGCTTTAAATAACCTGCAAAGGGTTGATAATCCGTAAAAATCAATCATGCTCGATGTTGCTTAACATTGGAATGGAAGTTAATTGCCCTTGTTCTGAGAGAACAAGGCAGATAAAAGAAGAAATTAAGTAAGTGTTGATGGCAAACTTATTGTGTTCACTTATCACTAATACCTTTAGGAAAGGCTTGAGCCCACGTCTCCCTGGATCCTATATATGTAGTAAATAGAGGTGCAAGGTAGTGCAGTGGGGATCAGCATGAAAAAAATGGAATCAATGAAGGGATGATTTTCAGTTGAAGCTGTTTGTATTCACTTTGCTCTAATCAGACAGTTATGTGCCATGTGTGATACATGCTTAGGCAGTCATGTATCTTTCAATATATGACTGATGAGGCAGATTTTTCCTGCAGTAGATTGCCATTTCTTTCTGCGGTAGACCACTTGCCATTCAAGACTATAGAACTCAGTCTGTCCTGCTATTTACCCATAGCTGGGGAGAGAATAAGAGGATTCATATCTTTCCCAAGAGTATTAGCATGTAAGTGAATGTAGTGGATTCAACTGAATTTCGAACTTGGCTCTCTGATTCCTCAATCTGAGCCACTATCCATTACTCCACCATACCTTTAAGAAAGGGATGAATCCACATCTCCCTGTATTCTCTCTATATATATTTGCTAAATGGAGATTTCAGAAACCAATTTCCTAAAATAAATTTTTCACTGACAAAGCATCAGAATACTGATTTTGGGAAGTGAATCAGGCTGAGAACTTTTCAGCACTCCATCATAATATTAGCATCTATACTAGCAGATCACCTGATTCATCTGTTTTTCTATAAATATTGAAAAATTTAATTTAACAAGTGCATCACTTCGTCGTCTGTTACAAACCTTTAAAGTGTAATTGAGGTTAACAGAAAAAGTTTGCGAAGTGAAAAAAAGAATATATGAAGAGGAAAAATTTAAATTTGAAAGAAAATGGAGAAATTAGAGGCAAAAATAACAGTCTTGTTTTATCAACACATAGGGAAAGACGAAGAGATAGATGTGTAGAAACGAAGAATTTAAAAAAAAAAGTTAAATTTTGGACAATGTGAGAAAACAACTTTTGGTTAAAAATTTAAAAGAAAGAAAAATGAAGAACAAGAAAAGAAAGAAAGGACAAAAAGAAAGAAGGGCAAAAGAAAGAAAAGAAAAAGAAGATTGAAAACGGTAAAGAAAGAAGAAAGAAAAACAAGTGAGAGAAACAACTTTTGGTTAAGAATTTAATTGAAAAACGAAGAGAATGAAAGAAGAAAAGAACAACAGAAAAAGAAAGAAACGACAAAAAAGAAAGAACAGCAAAAGAATGAAAAGCAAAAAAAAAAAGAAAGAATGAAAGAAGTAAAGAAAGAAAGAAGAAAAAAGGAGAAAAATAAAAGGAAGAAAAGAAAGAATGTAAGACAGAGAATGAAAGAAAGAAAAAGAACGAACAAAGAAAAAACAGAAGAAAGAAAAAATTGATTCATTTTCAACAACTTGTCAACTCTTTGCAAGTTTTTTAAAGCCAGAAAATATTTTTAGAATGTTAGAATTTTGTTTCTTTTTAGCGGTAATAATACCCTAAGGTACATAATGAGGTTTCTCAGGTATATAATAAGGAGAGAAGGCTTGGAAAATCTGATACTCACAGGACAGATTGAAGACAAGAGAGACAGAGGAAAACAATGCATACTTAGGGAGATTGAGTAAATGGATGGAGGAGCAGGGTTTAGAAGAAATAACAGAAAGACAAATTACTAATTAACCCACAGCTGGGGGGAGAAAAGGTAGATTCAAACCTTTCCCCAAGGGTATGTAAGTGAATATAACAAACTCAACTGAAATTGGAACTCAAACTTACAGCACCTGGTATTCCCAAGCAGTTACCTACCTAGATACTGACCAGGCTTGACATTGCTTAACTTCAGTGATCATAAGGGAACCAATGTTTCAACATGATGTAGCTGTAAGCCAGCAAAAATGAACAGAAGAAAGAAAGAGTGAGAAAAAGAAAGGAGAGTGCAAACAAGCAAGAAAGAAAGAAAGAAAGAAAGAAAGAAAGAAAAAGAAAGAAGAGTGACAGAAAATAAAGAAGAAAAAGAAAAGAAAGAAGAGTGAAAAAATAAAAATGAAAAAAAAAGAAGAGTGTGAAAAGGAAAAGAAAAAAAGAAAGAAAGAAAGAAACAGAAGAAAGAAAGAAGAATGAAAAAAAGAAAGTGTGTAAAAGGGAAAGAAAGAAAGAAAAAGGACAGATGAAAGAAGAGTAGAAAATGGAAAAGAAAAATAGAAAGAAAAAGAACAGAAGAAAGAAAGAAAGAAAAAGAACAGAAGAAAGAAAGAAAGAGAACAGAAGAGTGGAAAAAGAAAGAAAGAAAGAAAGAGCCAAAGATATAAATGAAAAGCTTTCATTCAAATACACAGAGAAAAGAGAATAATGAAAAAAAGTAAAAGAAAAGCTAAAGTGAATAATAAAAATTGATCTGAGAAAAAGAAAGAAAATATTTTAAGAAAAAATTAATTATTAATAAAGCAAGAGTGAGAGGATAAAGATGTAAAATTGAAAGCAAAGTCAAAGCAAAATAAAGAAAAGAGGAAAAAGGATGTATGAAAAAAAAGGTTTAGCAGAAAATAATTTGAAGGAATGATAAAAAAAATAAATGAAAATGATAAAAATTCAAGATCAGTAAAAGAAAGGAGTGAGACAAAGTAAGGAAAGATAGTTTAACTGAAAGTAGCATTGTGAGCAGACAACGATAGAAAAAGAAGCCACATAATCTTCCTATTCAATCCAATCTAAAAGAATCATTATTTCCAAACCATTTTGCCATTAAAAACTTGGAGATGTTTCATTAAAATATTCATTAAAGAAAGAAAAATAGAAAACAAACAAATGGCAAGAAAAGTAAAAAGGAATTAAATCCAATGGAGTTGAAAGAAGATGAAGGAAATCATTTTGAAAAAAAGGCTTGATACTTCATTTAAAGGAATTGTGGGAAATACAAGTAACTAAATTTCCATGAATATAAAGTTCCACAAAATTGTCTTATTATGAATGGCTACAAAAACATTTATCCCTTATAAAGACAGGTATACAGCTAGGTAAATAAGAAGCTAAATACGTAAAGACAAACAGGTGATTATACATGTTTGCTCATCTTAAAGCTATATATATATACAGGGTCTGCTAAAGTAGGTATACAGTAAGTATTATACCATTATTAATATGATATTATTGATGTTTGTGTAATTAATACAATGTTTGGTGAGAAAATTTTGTTTTTCATTACTGTATACCTACATTTGCTGTTTGGAGCCAAAGGCAACTTTATTGAATAAATTTACTATTTAGTATTTCAAGATATCTATCATATTTTTGGTAAATATATCTGTTAAAATGAGATGTTAGTGTTATTTTCATTTTTGCCTATTTTAGATGAAAATTTACCATTTTTGCATTTTTTTAGATGACAATTTATCCATCGCACTCTTTATGTATTAAATAGAGGTGCAAGGTAGTATCAGCACAGAAAATAGAATGTGATTTTTAGCTGAAGCTGTTTGTGTTCACTTTGTACTAATGCCCTTAAGAAGGCATGATTCCAGCTTTCCCTATATTCTATATATATTTTCTAAATGGAGACTAAAGGTAGTGCAATAGCTATCAGCATGAAAAATGGAATCAGTGAAATGAGTCTGAAGCTATTCGTTTTCATTTTGCACCAATGTCCTTGGGAAGGGCATGAATCCACCTTTCCCTGTATACTATATATGTACTAAATTGAGGTGCAATATACAGTAATGGTTATCAGCTTGAAAAATGGAATTCATGAAAGCTGTTTGTGTTCATTTTGCACTAATGCCTTCAGGAAAGGAATGTACCCACTTTTCCCTGTATTTCATTATATGTGCTAAATTAAGGTGTAGGATACAGTAATGGTTATCAGCTTGAATAATGGAATCAATGAAATGAGTCTTAAGTTGTTTATTTTCACTTTTGCCTAAATACCATTAGGAAAGGCATGGAACTAAATCTTGTGTTCTATATATGTACTAAATTGAGGTGAATGGTACAGTAATGGCTATCAGCTTTGAAAATGGAATCAGTGAAATGAGCCCGAAGCTGTTTCTGTCTACTTTGCCCTTGGGAAAGGCATGAATCTATCTCATCCCTCTTCAGCTATTGGGTAAAATAAAAGAGCAGACTGTTCTTTCTAGTTATAGGTGGCAACCAGGATTAGAAAAGGAAAAATTCTGAATTCAAAATCCATGAACCAGGCAACAAGAAAACAGTCATATATTCTCCAAATAGCAGTTCACAAATAATAAAGAAAAGGAATTAATGGAGAGCCATAATCCTCTACATTCCGAAAGGAGATGGCATTAAAGAAAAAGCGAGAGTGCTAAATATCTTTGTGTCATTTATGTATATTTAGCCACATGCACAGAAACTTTGTGGGTTTCTTAAAATTTTAAATGAAATTTGTAGATAATGCATGCATGCAAGCACATGCATGCATTATATGCATTTTTTTTATATTTTGGGAGGATAAAGCATGTACATATATTTGCAATCTATATAATTGATAAAAGGTTATCTATAGATAGATGTGACTTGAATACAACACACACAAAAGAAGCAAGTGAAACCCTTTGGGCATATATGTGTATATCCCAAATTATTCACACAGAAACATATATATATATATATATATTTATTTTTATTTTATATATATATATATATATATATATATATATATATATAAATAAATATATATATATATAGAGAGAGACAGACAGACAGACAGAAAGAGCCAGAGACAGAGAGGATCGATTAAGCTAAATTAATAGAGATATTGAAAAAATTGAAACTTATTTGTTTCCTAGATAAAAGGAAAAATATATTTATATAATGATATATATAAAGAGCCCTGTTTATGTTTGTTTATAATGGGGAAATTATTCCTGGTTCTAAAAAAATCCTTATATATATATATATATATATATATATATATATATATATATATATATATATAAAAGATAGATAGATAGATATAAAACTGTAAGACCCATTATTGAAAGATTTTTTTAAAAATCATCTTATTTATCTGCTGGGTTCATAATTATATTTCAGAGAAATGCAAGTTTCACACATGCACAGTTACACACACACACATATATATATATATATATGTATATACATGTGTATACATATATTTATATTATTTATATATATATATATATATATAAATAATGTGCCTAAACATATGTATACACATCCATACACAAATATATATACAAATGAATGTTCATAGACGTACACACACATATATATATATATATATATATATATATATATATATATATATATATGCACATATTCATACACACACATGCCCACACAAAAATATATATATATATATATATATATATATATATATATATATATATATATATGTACAATAATAATAGCTGGCCACTTGTATTCAAGGATACCTATCTATTAGGGTGACTAGCCAATCTCTATTGCAGGCTCTTGCTCAGGCAGGCACATTTGTGTTTGCTTAACACTCACAGAGCCAAACTGTGGTTTATACTGCAACTATGCTGAGCAGACCTTAGTTACAATTTCTGGTAGAGACTGTGTTATCTAGAATGCTCAACAATCTGAACAACACCAGCACACTCAAACACTGAGTCATGATGACTTGTGACTTCATGCTAGCACAGCTATTGACTGCTCCAAGTGTTTTGTCTAACTAATTTCACTCACAAGGCTTGGGTCAACCTGTGATATGGCTTTCAGACTCTTTCCAAAGGTGCTGCATGCTGGGATCATCCCTTCTTCAAACCGATAACATCAGGAAGTCTTGTTCCTGACAAATCGACCATGGTGAGATTTAAACTTGTGTCTTATGGTCAGAAAGCTAACATTCTAACCACTTGGCCATGTGCCTATATATATATATATATATATATATATATCATTTATTCGAAAATTATAACATAAATATGTTATAAAATCACTACAAAAATAGCCATTTTGTTTCAACACTTCTGGTGTCTTATCAAGTGATGGTGTTGAATATAGATTCTAGATGTAGATTTTCGAATAAATAATTATATTTGCTCTACTCTGTATTGAGCACTCTTTTAAGAATAGTATTTTTTGGTTATTGGAATTTATTCCATATACACTAATCTTATATACATACACACATATATACACTATGTATTTTGGGGTAAGTAGTAACTATAATGAATATTTTCCTTTCATATTGAGCTTATTTAAAGTTGCCTCCTATTTAATGTATCATAATTTATAGCATAAAAAGACCTTTATAATAATGTACTATTATTAGGGAATTTGGAGAGGTCCAAGTACTGGTATTCTATAGGGCTTCTTTTTTTTATCATTTCAGCCCAAGCAAGGAGATAATACCACTAAGACACTAGGTGGTTACTAGGAATGGAAGAGAATGAAAAAACTTTAGTCAGGAGAAAGAACAAATAAAAGAACAGGATTCTGGAAAACTGAAGATGGTGATTGTGATTGCATTTAAATTTTTGAAGATCATCGTTAGCAGGGAAGTAAGAAACATGAAGAAAATTCCACTGTCAAGAAGATAAGAAACTATAATAGAACTTATAGCTACATTTAGCTACTTCAACATTAAAATGATAAGACCTAGTTGTCAGTCTAGTATGTTTTAATTCACATGAAGGAGGAGACATCATTAAAACAATTACCATGAAAATATTTATAGAAAAAAACAGAGGGAAGCCAAACCATGGTGGTGGGAAAGTGACTGAAGTCAAGGTGTAATAGTATTACTGAGCCTTCTTTGGATTTTGTGAAGAATCTCAAGACATATAGCAGGAGCACCAGATCAGATATGGCAGAAATATTCAATGCACAGATGAATGGTAGATTTATAAACATGCAAGATGGATTCTGGAAAAAAA